TCACGGGAGTGGTGCTGTGCGCCGTCTGAAGCAAACCCTCTTGACGGAACGGTCACAAGCGGTGGACCCTTCGAGACAATCAGCTAAAAATGTGCAATTTTCTAAACCGATGAGGTGTGATTTCACGTTGTAATGGCATTATGTTTTATGATCTATTAGTTGGGAAACTACGATTGTTTGAGCTTCTATATTTTTGGGCGCATTTCCGGTGTATTTCATTTACCTACCTGAAAACGGACATTTCTGTGCCTTTCCATTGCTCTACTAACAACTCGTTAATCATAAAAATGCTTGCTTGCACGTGTAGCTAGTGCATCATATATGATGTTAAAAGGAGTTGAAGCTGTATCAATTTGGGCGTTTACAGTATTCATCTTTTGGTAACCACATCAGTCAAGGCGTTGCGCTCATGATCCTTGTGCTTTTGAGCTGTCTGGATGGAGTGCAAGTGTTGTATTGTGTTGTAATACATCAGCTACCTCCAGTTTGTTGGGAAGTTGAGTCGAAATCACAGTATAATACTACTGAATAACGCCAACGTGGTGTTGACAGAGGTCGACGGGCAAATATTCGCCGCAGCTTTAGTGTCTCCGACCCTCCCTCCTCTGGGGAGAACCAGCGGCAGTACCAAAAGTCGAAGGCCTGCTCTCTCAGCCCTAAGAAGCAACTTCGCGCCACTTCCCCCGTGGCGGAGTGCAAAACTGCCACTACGCGACTTCAGCAGACTCAGCTCGCAAACTTTGGCGTTCGGAGAACGGCTCGACAGTTCGCTAAAGTCATGCAGGTTGTCCATATTCTAATAAAAAGCAATGGCACCTTTGGCTTGGAGTTTTCAAGGACTTAATAATAATTAGCCTTTGAGGTGGTCTCGTCAATTTTATCCTATTTGAGTTAGAGCCTATTGAATGCTTTTGGCACCTGTGTGCGCTCTGCCCTAAATAGCATCGTAGACTCCTTGAGAAGCAGCCATTTCTTGTTACGTTGATCACCACTTATTATTGCCAATTTTATGTCATAAACGATTGGTTTTTGACGCCCGATTCTTGTTAAATGCTTTTATCGTCTAACTATGCAAAATTAAGTAGGCGGTGCATCTGTATTTGTGACACATATTCGTCCCTTTTTTGCTTTAGCAACAAAAGGATGCTGAGGTCATCGAAAAGATTCTCAAAAGTGAGGAATCTGGTATGAAGGTATGTGTTCGTAGCATTGCTAGCGTATTATTTTTATTGGTAACATGCGATTAAGTTGGGCGTCTCATTGTCAATGTTTCGGTTAACTTTGCAGTTCTTGATTTCTAATGAATATTGCATTTCAAAGTCTGTAAAATTTGTTATAATTGTCGTAATTCGTTTCTTTTGTGATCATTTTCAGATTTCATAGCTCTTTTTGGTGGATTTTAAGATGTACCGCCTTGTGGAGCTGTTTT